TACAAAAATTTCCAAATCATTATCGTAGACCAATGAGATATGTAAACTAATCAAATTTCTCCTAAACATGAATGGTACTTTCAAACAAATCAAAGTTGATATAGATTTAGATCGGCCAAAAGGTGTTGAATAAAGAAGCCCTTCTACTAGAATGGGAAATTTTTGTGTACAAATTATATTGAAACACTATTATTTGCTAAGAAGAGAAACAACTTGGTATTACTGTTGAGGAACTAATAAAGTGCTCAAAATGTTCGGATCATGTCTTGGGGTAAAACTGGCACACAACTTGTTAATTATAATTACCGGTATACAGTCCACCATTACTTTGGTGCAGACATATATTTTGCATGCACGCAGTTCATTCAAAGTACATTTTTGTTTCAGGTTTCCACAGTAGATGGAACAAGGAGGTGAGGCAGGCCCATCCATCCCTATGGACCGTCATCCGCAGAATGAAGAAGGAGGGAAAGCGCATGGAGGTTGCCCTTGATAAGGCCATGCGGGGGGGAGGACCTGCCCCCAAAGATAAAGAGGAAGTGGAGGCGCATGGAGCGCAAAAATAAACAATACAATTATCGCTGTCATTAAAGACGCACTTTTTTAGAATAAACTTACCATATTGCAGAATTGCAGGGGACAATGCTATGATGCAGGAGGTCCAATGGCAGGGTCTAGAAAGGGGTTAGCAGTGCAGATATCGTCTCAGCATCCAAAGGCAAACCTTACTCAATGTCATGGTCACGCATTGAGTTTGGCAAAGATACTACAAAAGGTTCCAAAGCTAGTCAAATTTCTCCTAAACATAAAGGTATTTTCAAACAAATCAAAGACGATATAGATTTAGATCGGCCAAATGGTGTTGAATCATGAAGCCCTTCTACTAGAATGGCAAATTTGTCTACAAGAATGATTAGACAGTGAGACTAAAGCCAGAATAATTGGTGTTCAGTCCTAGATGGAGTCATCTTACTATCTGTTAGTCAAGCTTTTTTTCCCCCTTTTAAATTCAGGACACCTTCAGTTGTTTATAACAGCACTCACAATGTCGAGGCCTGTGTAGCTCTCTTCTTCTCCAATGCACCGGATGCAAGATGGAGCATCGCTTCACATCTTCCCCCAATGCTGTGGCAGAGGGGACAGGTCTATCCGCAGAAGTTCACAAAAGATCTGTTTTGGCAGCATGTGAAGTGGGCCTTGCCAGGGAAGCTCTAGCAGACTTCTGTGGGTACAAGGACCTGCCCCCACCGTGGGGGGGGGGGGGGCTCGGGGGCTCGGAAGGGTGACTTTTTCAGGAAAGATCCCTAGATATGGGTCCCCTTTTCATTAAAAAAAACATTAAACATGGGTCCCATTAAAAAAAAAACCCTTAGACATGGGTCCAGGGTCCCTTTTTTCATTTATCCCTTTCCCCTCTTTTCTCCCTCATTTTCTCTGGGATTTTGGGATTTGCTCCTAAATACTCGAGCCTACATTGTAAATGCCTAAATCTATCTTGTAACCTTGCAGCTTCAAATTTGCACCACTCAGATCTATGAGAAAACTGCAAAACAATGTCAAGGTACATGAGAAGACACAGAACCACTTGTTCAAGAAGTCGGGTTTTCAAGGTGTACGCATGCTTTCCTCCTTTTTCACCACATTGGGAGAAAATGAAGTACAGGAGACAGGTGCACAATGACTAGGCTGAGATGATTCAAAGGTGTCATGCAAAGGGTTTATCTTGAATGTAATATTTAAAGTTTGAAATCCTTAGACATGGGTCCATTTTTCACAATAAATCCTTAGACATGGGTACCTATTTCAGCAAAAGGACCCTTGGATGTGGGTATGGGTTCGGAGGTCTCAGCTGCACACCCCCCCCCCCCCACCTTTGAATCACAAGAGCTACCAGGACCACATATACCGTCTGCACTCGGAGACGAAGGAGGTATGTACAGTATGTAAATATGTGTAATATGCATTTATATGAGACAGCCAGTGTATGTGCTCATTTACATTAGATAGACTGCTAAGTGGTTCTCTCTCTTTTCTCACAAGTGGCTTGTGGGGTAGAGACATGGTTCATCCTAAGATGGCCCCCAAGAGTGCTGATGTAGCCAAACCTGCCGGCTCCAATTCAGGTAACCTCCCCTCACGGAAGAACCGTGCGGGGACTCGTTATGCTGGTAAGCCTAGGACTCACCACATGCAGCAATGTCCTTACAAGAAAAGATTAGTTGTAAAACTTGATTAATAAGTATTATTTCTTTCTGTTCATATTCCGCAGAGTTTGGCAATGATGGTGTACAAGCATTGGCGAGACACTTCAAAGAGACACTGACTGCAGGAGGTGTGATCACCCTGAAGATGAAGAAAAATAACAGTTTGTTTGGTAATGTTTTTATCAACACTACACATTGCAAGGATATGTATTTTGCTTGGAACAGAAGGAATAAAAAACACTGATTGAACTTGTGAAAGAATATTAATTTTTCTTTGTATGTTTTGTACTACCGTATTTCTTTCGTACCTATTATAAATTGCAGACAGCAGTGTAACCAGCTCTCTTCATCATCAGAATATTTACACTAAACCTTGCAGATTTACGCATTACACAAACCTCTTTAAACCTATTCACTGTGACCACCTAAACTGCCCTTTGGCAACCTAAAAAGCTGTATAGGATGCCCGGCTGGCAACCAAGATAAAAGTTAAGTGAGAGCCCTGAATTGAGTATGGACACTCGGGAGGTTATTGATAGGGCAGTTCTTTCTCAAGTATGTAAAGCATGTCAGTCACGAAAAAGCTGGAATAGGGAAAGGGAGGAATTCAAAGAGTGGTAGGATGATCATAAACATAATTGTTTGGGAATCATCATGAGGGAAGTAGTGGTAGCATGGAACCTAAAGCTAAAACATTGTGGGGGAGATCTGTAGATCAGCACAGGTTAAGGTATAAGTACAACATTTCTGATGGGGATACTTCAACTTTTCATTCAATTAAAAATGTGTTTGGGGATGCAGGGCAAGTTATGAAATATGATTGCGTAGGGCACGTAGGGGAAAGAATGTATAATACGTTAGATAAGTTTTGTAAGGACAGGGATCATTCGGCAAGTGATAAGAAGTTAATGAGGAAAGGGTAAAGGTCATTTACGGGGTACTTCAGATACTGGGACTGTAGGTCCGATGAGTAGGTTATATAGAACTACAATTAAAGACTGTCAAAATCGTAATGTGATAAGGGATGAAGAAGAAAGAGTAAGAGTTGTAGCTATTCTTTATTATGAATGTAAAATTGATAATGAAGTTCGCCACCAGTACTGTCCAGACAATTGGTTTTGTGAGTGCAGAAAAAAGGCACAATGAGTGATGAAGACCACCATCTAGATGGCCGATTCCTCAAACTTCTCAAGCCCGTCTTTGAGCGACTTAGTCACAAAGATCTCCTCGAGAGATGCGTCCCAGGTTACACCCAAAACCAGAATGAGAGTTTCCATCCTCTTATCTGGAAACGGTGCCCTAAACACCTGTGGAGAGGTCCACGAACCCCTTGCTACCAACGTGGCAGCTCCGGCATTCAATCAGGCGCAGTAAAAGGGTGAAATGTCGCAACAGAATTCTCGCGGGATTGAACCTAGAAATAGGAGCTCACGCATTGTCAGTTGCAAGTAAAAGAAGATAAAAGTAGATTGAGTAATGCAGAATTAAGGGCTAGGGTGGCAACGAAAAGGAAAATGGAAGTAGAAAGGCTTAAAAGGGGGCATATCGCTCTACATACCTCCAGCTGAGTCCCTAAAACACATCACGCATCAACGCTGACCGAAGGGATCCAGCTTCTTTTGTAGTTCAGTTATTAATTCAAATTATTTTGACTCCTTTTTATGAAAGAATAAGTTTGCACTATGCATTTAAGATCTTTAGGAATACAAAATGGAAAGAAAAAACATTCGGGGGGGGGGGGGGGGGGGTATCTTCCTGCAGGTGTCCATGTATAGTGGAGGCTGTTCTCCGATGCCCAAAGTCAGTGAGCCCATATCTTGTAAGGAAGTGCAGCAGGCAGTATAAAAAAAATGGACCAGTACGTCCTGAAGACAGCATATTACCAGTACCGCTAGCAGTATGGCCACCAAGCAAGGCAAGATGCCACTGCCAATGAGGGAGTATTTCAACAGTGTTTAAATGTTGCACATAATTATAGACAAACAGGCACAATTTGCAGGCCTGAAGATAACCTAAAGGGCTCCCTCCAAGAGCAAACCCATCCAAAGGCTAGACCTGAACATGTCATAAGAGCTACAGAGGGGTATAATCAGAAAAATCCCCTGTAATATTAAAAACTGTAAGTGTTTGCAAAGTTTTTCTCTTGTTAACATATTTTCACTTTAATTCGACCTTTATTAATCACATTTCATGTTGTTTTCTTAATTTGATTGTTGAATTTTTTCTTATAATTGTTAATATGTGTTTTTATGTTACCTATATTTAATTTTTTTTTTCTTCTCCCTTTTCCTTATTGATATTAATTTGAGTTGAATTATTGTATATGCTGTGTATATTTTTACCTTTGTATATATGTATTGAATTCATGTTTTTAAGTGAAGGGCTCTCTGGGAGAGCAGGTCCAGAAATGGACTTGAAATGAGACCACCCTGTTGAAATAAAACTATAATAAATAAATAAATAAAAATAAGAGAGTGAGCACAGACAAAAAGTGCTATAATTGTGGGAAGGTAGGACACTTTTCTACGGGGTTAATCCAACAGTCATAATTGGTACAAACCAAATCAGGCAGCCAGTGTATGGTACCGGTAAGTGAAATTAGAGGCAGACTTTGACTCTCGGCAGAATAATAGCCAGGATACATGAAATTACCAACAGGGAAAGAGCTGCCAATAGTCAATGCAGTAAATTCAGATGCTAATGATAATATGCCAGTAGTCGAAGGATTGGTATCAGGGTGCAAAGCCCAGGTGTAACATTATAGTTGTTGTAGCAAGGTAATTGTAATTTAGAAAGATACAACAATGTTTGTTGATCAACAAAGCAATGCGCAATGTGCAGCTAGCGGGCGCGACTATCGATGTAGACACCCCCTATTTCACAGGTAAGGTAAGTTGACTTAGTTATGCGTGACCCACTGTATGATCCGACACTCAGAAGTATAGCAAGGGTGAGGGAGTGTAAAAACCCTGACCCAAATTGGAGCATCACATAAGAGAGGCAAGGAATTGCATAATGAAAATGAAATACTGTAGAGACAGATGGGGCAGTTTAAACTAGAGGGCAGAAAGCCATGAAAGAAAAACCAATCAAACCACTCAAGGCATCAGATGTTATGTCACTTGCATCAAACAAAGAATTCTTGTTCAATTTCACTTTCACTCACTCAATAACATAATGTTACCCAGGTATTGATTATAATTTGATTTGAAATTATCAATAGAGCTTGGAGCTCTAAAAGCTTATTTAAATGTATATTCTAGTGAGAAGTCGCCTTATTTCTTGTTTCCATACATATCACTTCATCAACATCAAATCTATCGTTCGACGCTTGAACAAGGTGTTTTTTTAGGTTCAAAATGCATTAATATAAGAGAGATCATGGTGATTGGGCCTTTGTGTGCCTTTTTGCGCGAACAATATGCTGCGTTGTCTTGTGTTCCGGAAAGACCCCCATTTGTTCCTGAAAAATGTGGTAAATGTTCCTGACAACCATCCTTTAGGGGTTGGCATCTCTGCTAAAGTACCTAGAGCTGACATTGATAGAACATTGATTACTTGTGTTTATGTCACATTTGTTCTCTCTTGTCAAAAAAGCCTTCTATTAAACCTGTCATTAGGTAGAGCTCTGGCCCTACCCTGTGACAAACACAAACGCCCATATTCTACAGAAATTTAAACCTGATGTGACCTTCGACCCAGGGTTGGGTATAACTGCATTAGTAGAATACAGACCAACGTGTTCATCACCAACAACTTTGGACGTCTGTCCTGTGGAGACTCTGTGCTCCCCATTGACTTGCAAAGACCCGTCGAGAATAATCACCATGAACTTTGGCTGTCCTGTGGAGACAAAGCAGAGCAGGAGGTGTCATCTTTCTTTGACAAAAACCAGTCGAGTGGAAGCCACATAGTGATGTCATCTTAGAGGAAAGACAAACTTCTTGCATCCGCTCTTGCAGAGGATTTCTTGCACCTCGATTGAAAGTTCACCCAGATGGTTGTTCAACTTTTCCTGTTATAAAACAAAAGTAAATTTGATTTAGCCAACTACCTGAAGTTTGCTTTTAAGTTGTCCTTAAAGGTAACACAAAATATGATGGAATTCAGCTTATAATTCTGTACCTCCTTAATCTTAGAAGATTCACTTTGAATAAGTAGTGTACCTTCAGAAGAAAACCTGATAAATCAATTCAATAATGCTATTTTTCAAATTCAATTGAAAAGCAGAAATCTTTAGTTTGGTTAGGGTAGTCGTCACCATTACATGTATATGTAGTTCAAGCTTCTACCCATCTTGCATGTAAGAATTAGCAGGCAAGTTTCATCCACTCAAGTGAACTTTCTCAAGCCAAAGCAATTTTTCACATAGGGCCTTGTCTCTTCACTCCAGTGATCTATGAGCAGTAGTCAGCAAGAGGAGAAATAAGTTGGCTTTACAAATTCCACAGGAGTAGATGAAAACTTGGCAGATAACTGTAAATGACAAACGGTCAGCAGTTCCCATATTCAACATACCATAATTTGCTGACACGCGACCTGGTAGAAATACCATTTAAGGGTGTACATGTCTTGCACACAGTGAAATTGGATGACCCACCAAGAAATCAATAGCATTCAGTTATCATCGTTATTTCGGTATTGCAACCAACGTTATGATTGGATATCAATTACAAATAAAAATACAAACAGATACATCACAGTGGTAGAAATAATTTACACAAAGTCAAAAAAACTGTACAACCCGATACATAAATGTATGAATAACAACGTGCTACAATGAAATTATTACACATTATCAAATAAATTTATGTAAGCTCATGAGTAAAATATAGCATACCACCCAGTCTCTAAGAGAGTCTTTGGTAGGGGGAATTCAAGATGACGAGCTTCCTTTATGGTGCAGTGCATTACATAAGATCCGTCAGTCAATAAAAGGGATAGCCCCTCCAGTGACAGATAGCATCAGGTTCATACCAGAATGGTGTAAAACTCCGAGTTAGAACCCTTTTAATATGTGTCTTAAAAGCCTCGGTCACAAATGCCATTATGAACGCCGTACGAACGCCGTACGAACAATTTTAAGACCATGGAAATTGGGGAAGACCATGGAAAACAGGGAGATTTGTACGAAACTCATCGTTCGTACGAACTTTTGTGACCGTAGCTTAAGTTTGGTAGAAGCTCAAACCACATGTTATTGCTGAAAACCATGTGATAACAGACAGTGCTTACCTGTAGGTCTTGCAGCACTCTGGGACCGATTCTAGACGACACGTCACCTACACACCAGCCAAAACTAACATGGAATGATGGATCCTATATATAAAACAACATACCGGTAGAGGATATAGTCACATATCACTGAATATGCAGTATACTTTCTAAAGTTTAATTTTAACAACTTTCACACAAGAGTCCAAAGTTACATACATTTAACAAAAAAAAGTTCCCTAAGGTTTAAACTACTTGTAAAATGGTCAGATTTGACTTCATTGGCACAACTATCAGAATGCTTGACATCTGTATACAAACAATGGTGACTAAAGCATTGTTTGTTTTGTTTCTGTGTCATTTATTAGCATGAAGATGACCTGATAAAATCCTACAGTGCTTTCTGACATGGCTCCACAGTCCAATTTTATAAGCACTGCGGAAACCACAGAATTTCTGTATATACGTAAGTAACCGTACATTGTTTATCAACCATACTTCATATGCTGCAACTGCTATTAAAATAAAGCTCTCACATAGTTTGCGAAACAAGCTTTTTTTCAGTCAGTTGTCATATCATTAAAGTAGATAGAAAATATATATTGTATCTGATTTGGTTGTTAAGAGGTTAGAGTTCCTGCACACGTTTGTATAGTGCGTGCAGACTGTCCAAATGAATGAAAAATTAAGGCAGTGTGGAAAACACATGGAGCACAACATGAGAATAGTTCAAACTGGCACCAGTTGGGTTGCCTATCAAAATAATTCAATACAAACCTTATAGAATACTGGCAGTGAGAACTCTTCCAGGGATTCATCGGTCAGCTGCACCAGGTCACACAGAGTATCATGGCCGGCTCCTATCTTTAGACCCAAAAATGTCCTAGAATAAAATAAAATATATTATGGAGTGCACACAGGGAAAAGGCACTTAGGAGAAAAACAGAGATCAATGATATTTTTGTACACGACAGACAGAGAGTTATCAGCAATGACATCTCACAATCCACTGACTAAACTGCCAATTTGAGATTTGCAAAGACAAAGTGATCTCGTGTTTCAAAACCTTTATAACTATTGGTCCGATTTATTTAAAACAATTGCCAGTTTGCTTATCTTATTTTCTTGCGACAAGTATCATATAAATTTACTTATTACAGGGATTGGATTACCCTTCAAGTGCCAAATAATAATAATAATACTATTGGATTCTTATATAGCGCACGTATCGATCTTGCAAGGTCCTCGAGGCGCTCCAACATTACCCGGCTACGCAAGTCTGCCGATTTTGACGTGAGCAAAATGTGAATGCTGCCATGATTAAAATTCACAGGCGTTTCTGGAAGGCAGCCATCAGAGAGAGATAGGCAATGTATAGCCTCTCCTCTGCAATATTGGAGTCACTCTCCTAGTCATTCTACTGATCGGAACGTCGAGAACCAAAGAACTCTTAGCGGAGCTCACCAGCCCCTTCCAGGGGGGTGTTTCACAAAGATCCTAAGTTGAACTTATCTCTAAGTTGGACTTAACAATTATGGAAAGCCGTTAGCATCTTTGAAAATATTTTTTTAAGTCATGTTAAATGGCATAACATGTTGATTCAAATCATTCATATTTTCTATTATCAAGGAGATTTCATGTTCTGATGTGGAACTTATGAAAAGTCTAAAATACTTGCATTTTTGCTTTTGAATATATTTTATTTGCAGTCTACAAATGGCTATCCATAATGTTTAAGTCCTACTTAGATTTAAGTTCGACTTTGAAAAGAATTGAAAGAATTACATGGTGTAATCCTAAAAAGTGTAGGTCCTACTTAACTTTCTACTGCCCAATCCAAAATCTTACCTCGTTCCTTCGTCATTGGCGTAAACATCCACCTGTTCTATGTGACACTGGAATGACCTCATACCGCTGACCCTCTCCCGGAATGACTGTGTGAAGGGGTCAATCCAGTGAAACTGGAGACACACCGTGCGGGACAGGCTGAGGTGGAGGTCATCGCTAGGGTGAAAGGTCAAATCCTGAGGTAAGCAGGTCATCAGAGTCTCCGTGAGGCTGGCGAGGCTGGGAGTGTCAGCTGGAAATGGAGGGGAAAATGTGGAGGTACTGATTAATGATTTGCAATAAGACAGGCTTGACTTTACTAGGGAGTCTGATCTGGTCTTTTAATGAAATTCTCTTTCCTTTGCTTTGAGTCAGCAAAAATATCAAGCTATTCTGTTGCCTCTTGTTTGGAATATGTTATGGAAGACCATGACGTGCTTGGAAGAGCACTTTGCTATGGATCCCTGTTTTGAGCCCATTTACTATCATGCCAAATCTTACCGATCTTACTAGAGGTACAGTAAAACAATGAAAACAAAATCCAGAGAGCAAATACTGCAAAATCATCGCTTTTAGCCCACATTGAATGAACTACTCAAATTAAAAGCCTATGATTGTACCTCAAATTTATCAGACATGGTAATGAAAGGGCCTTAAATCCATCACCTCTGTTTCGCTAGAAAAATACTGCTTTATTGGATTTGTTCAAAGGTTTGTGCAGAATTGCAGTAATGACACAGTGAGGTTGAAATTCTTTTATTTGGAACTTGACTCACCTGGTATGTATACAAAGGTAGCCCAGTTGCCGGGAGTATGAGCAAAGCTACGAATCCTTCCATGATGTTCTGTGGGGTTGTTCATCTCTGAGGACGGACTGCTGAACATTGAAAGGATTTCACCTGGCAGGGGCAGAGCGCTGGTCTGTTTCGCAGGCAATGATTTCTGCAGTTTGGTTTCTAAAAGATATAATTAAAATATCAATAAAAATGACAATAACCTTGCTTCTTATATGGCATAAATGTCCATCACACCTCGATGCTTCTGGCGCTCCAACATAAATTACCCAGATCATAGTAAAGCAGCTAAATATGTAGTCCTCTAGCATTTTCTGTACCCATTTTGATCGTAAATCATGCACAATCTTAACATTACATTGTGACGCATCAATCTTTTGTTTAAAGCCCCACTGTCCTACTTGTAGCTACTTGCTCCCTCTATATAGAAAACTTCCCCAATTGGTGCCTGTTGGTCCCCCATGATCCTCTTTTTCTTATGTTGGTTGAGAGCTGAGTTAATGAGATAGGTCAGTGATCTCGCTATGTGGTCTAATCCCCTCTGGCCCAGTAGTATTGACGGTCTTTAAGTAAGTACCGTTTTGAGTTGAATCAAATTGAATTTACACCTGAGTAGAAACAGCCTCAAGCTCCAGTATAATCAATTTTCTCTCATTGGGTTTTAGCTTTGCATAGAAACTGCAAACAAAAAGTAAATCCAGTACTAGCTTCATGAAACCTCCAACAAAAAATGTTCCTCTTGAAAACATGACCAGAATAATGCGTTTAAGTACACAGTACATACTTCTGAGTTTGTGGCACACTATTCACTATTGTTTAAAAAGTTGTCAATTTTGCATGTAGGAAACACAAAAAGTGGTCTTTGTAGACAGGTTCCTTTAGTACATGTTTCAGGCGTTAGTGTACTTTCGTATCCATTTTTTTAGCAGTTTCATATCCATTCTTAAATGTGCTGCAGATAATGCGCTGAATAACACTCATACAGGGCATTATACTGAAGCAGCACAATTACGGAAGTCCAAGTCAGAGGTCAACACCATTGTGTAGCGATCGTAAAGTCACACGCTACACGTGAAAAGGGAGCTAAGCTGTATCGGTCTAGTAAGAAATTTGCTCCTATTATGTTATTTTTACTTCCGATTGTGATATTCCGGAGGTAATGACAAGGAAAAGTCCCGTAACATTTATCAAAGCCACTGTCCAATATTGGACATGTGCGGGAAAGTGTAATTTTGGACACATTTCAGATGTTGTTTACCTACCTCTCCGTGGGACCCTATGGGAGCCGTTTAAGGCTCCCTCGAATAATATCATAAAAAACATTTTGAGACTAGGTTTGACTGTAGTAGGAGGGGGGGGGGGGGGGAGAGGGGTAGCGAGCACAAAAATAAAAATTGCTATTTTTTAATTTTTAACTCAACACCCAGCATGCACACCCCCCTCCCCCTTTTAGAAAAAGATAAAATTGTGGTTAATTAGGCGGGAGGTTTTTTCATAAACTATGGGATTCTACATCAAATGAAGCAGGAGGCTGGGGGTGGTGGCAGGAGTCTCCCTCCAAATGCGGGAGGGTTGACAGCTCTAGATACATTTTATGATCAGCAGTGTTCAGCATGCTGAGCTCAGTCAGCTCAGCTGCGTGCAGCGGTCACGGCTCGGCACTACACGTGCGTGCACTGCACTGAGTATGGTAACGTTACGTTATGGCCATGAGATCATGGGGATTGGGACCACTCAACATTGCACTGCTCACTGACACTGCACTCATATGATCATGCCAACAAATACTTACTGATTTTATCATGTCCTTGCTCCTTTCTTTGAAGAGCATCGTCCGGATCATCGTCACCTTCTGAGCTACTGTCACTTCCATACGACTTTAAAGCGTCCAACCCTGCCATCTCTTGAATCCTTCTTCTTCAAGCTCCATGCACATGTGTTCGTAATAATGAGTACGAGTCGAGTTTAAATCGACATTCGTGTGCGCATGCGCAAGGTCGGGAGTTCCCCTTTGTAGCTCCGACCTGCGCGAGCCAAATTAGGAAAATCCAATCACGAAAGGTAAACTTTTGATCTCAATAAAATAATATTATATATCTACCCCCGAAAAAAAGGAACATTTTAGAGGTAAAGATTTTGTATTCAGATCGAAATTTTAATTTTGGCTCCCCCTATCTTTCTTGGTCGCCAGCTGGCAGTGCAGTTATTTGTCAATGCTGTTCAATACATTACCAAAGTAACGAAACCGTCCGGACTTGTGTCAGCAATAAATATTGGTTTTATAATTGACCCAGTATAAGACACTACCTAATTAGGTCTCACAATGGCTGTTAGGAAAATGGAATCATTACAGTATCTCTTACAGTTATTGTACATTTTAAAAGTCAATAATAGACGTTTAGAATCACTGAATGGGTTAATATTTGTGAGGTAAAATGATTCCACCCCTAAAATATATTCAGAGTAGCGGATCATGGACCCTATTTTACACACATAAAAAAGCTTACCAGCCCAGCTCACCTCTCGTTTAGTTTAATCAAATCTTATGGGCTTCATTTAAGCCCAGTGGTGACACTTTTGGGTGCAGGCTTTCAGACTAATATTTCACATCTTGAAGCAACAATTTTTTTTTTTTTTTTTTTTTTTTTTTGAGGGGGGGGGGGCAAAAAAAAAGCGTAGGTGATTTGAAGTCACGCGGGGGGGGGGGGGGGGGTAGCGAGCACTATTTTTGTTTTGCCCCCTAACATCTGAAAATCGCACCCCTCCCCCTTAAGCACTAGGGGAGGGGGCCCGTCTTCTTTTTTATTTAACAAATAAAGGTAAAATTAACGTGATTTTACCTGTTTTTCCCCCGACCCTGCCCCCTGGATCCGCCAATGGAGGCCGAGACCTCGTAGGATTCATCATAATTTTTTTTTTTTTTTTGGCGTATTTGTTTGCTTTGTTTTGTTTTGTTTAGTTTTTTGTTTATTTTATTTCTTCGCTGCACTCTTATAAAATAGTATTAATTCCTTTCGCTGCGTGTCAAATGTATGCTCATTTTTTTTGGGGGGGGGGGGCTTGCAGATTTTACTCTTTCTGGGGAAGGAGGGGGTGTTTGAGCCCAAGGCTTTCCGAGAATCGCTATTAGTGATGCTTGACCGAGTGCACGATTAATGAGTTTCATGTGGTCTGAAGCTCAATGGGACATAATGCCCCCATACGCCAATGAGCATCAGTGAGGCGAATATTGACATAAAATGGAGCTCCTTATTCCCCCCCCCCCATTTTTTCCATATACATTTTCTTTTCTCCCGAAATTCAATCTAAGTGAAGAAAAGGTGGTCGGTGGAATATTCGACACAACACTGTGCGAAGAAAATTATCCAAAAGGGGTTAAAATCACTTTAAAATGTTTACTCACTTGGTCAATCGCCGGGCCGGGCAGGAGATATCAGGCATAGGGAGAAAGATAAACCCTGCGACAGGCAGTATCAGTGGCGTACGCAGGATTTTTTCAAGGGGGGGGGGGGTTTAAAATCGGGTCCAAAATTTCGCAACGACTCAGGAAAATTTGAAAATCGCGCCGGCCAAAAAGTCGCTCAGTGGTGGGGGGGGGGGGGGGGGGGGGGGGGGGGGGGGGGTAAGCGGACACTTTTTTTTGGTCTCAAAAAAATCGCAACGACTCAACCGACCGCTGAATAAGCGGGGGGGGGGGGGGGGTAAGAGGACACTTTTTTTTTTTTTTTTACTCAAAATTTGAAAAATTGACATTCTGCTCCGTTGGGGGAGGGGGGTAAGGTCACCTTTCTTAGGTCAGCCATGGGGGGGGGGGGGAGTTTTAGGGATTTTTTAGGGGGGTTTACACACATAAAAATACCAAAGGGGGGGGGGTTTAACCCCAAAAACCCCCCCCCCCTGCGTACGCGCCTGGGCAGTATACTTATAAAAGAACATCAGCTTTGAAATACTAGACATGAAACATAATACTTCTATTGAAAGGAATTAATGTTTGAATAAACTGCATTGTTACATTTCCGATGTTATGAAAGTATGCCTTCGGCAATTGAAACATTACACGTGTATTGATCTAAAAAAAACTCTCCCTCTCTCTCTCTCTCTCTCTCTCTCTCTCTCTCTCTCTCTCTTGACTCGACTCTTGTCATGTTATCACATAATATGGAGTTATATAAGTTATATTCAAGGGCTATAATGTGTCGAACGACTGATGTACTGAACGAAAAAGAAAAAAAAAAAAAAAAAAGTCTGTACTTGCAGACTATACGGACTACGTGCAAAATCTCACTGTGGTTTGACGTCGCTTGCCCGAGTGAATGATCAACGTTCAAAATGTTTAGATTTTGCCTGCCAGCGAAATATAATGTACAAGCTCTCATCCAATAATATTCTCGAGGCAAATGTAGAACATAAATGCAGAAACTTCCAAGCACACCAAAGCCCCCCCCCCCCTCCGCCCCAACCAAAAAATACAAAAATCTTCTAGAACCGATCTTGCAGTACAGTACAATTAGGCTCATGGGTATATGAATATAATAGTGATATCAGTTTCAATAAGTTTGCAAATAATGGAAAGTTGGTGCTCATACAATTGACAACTATAAGACTATATTATTTAAAGCTAAATGTAACGTTTCTCTGTGACAGGTCCGTCTCCGGTTGTCAACATCAGTATGGTATTTGTTTTCCAAAAAAGTAAGTTTGCGGAGCAATCACAGCTTTCACAGGGTAAAAGCATTTATGGGGAAGAGGAGTAAGATAAAGAAAAAGGGTAACTCGTCTTGATGGCTGTAAACAGCAGTTGGCATCAGATTTGTTTTATTAACCACAAAGGTCATATTTTGCCTGCAAGATACCCATCTAAACAAATTACATCCTGGAATTGAATATAGATAGAAACGAAATTTGATTTTGAAAAAAAAACCCTTCTCGTCCCATTAAGCTATCTGTTTATATTTAGCATGTATACTCAACTTTTTTCAGCTATGATACTCTGTGCTCCAGTATTGTTCTGTTAAAGCCTTGTCATGCAAGAAGACATCAACAGAAGTGACAATCAATGGGAAAGCATTAGTAGAAATGTTTATCTTTAAAAGTTTACTTTATCAAAATAAATGCAGACCTCTGTGTTTCCAGAACTAGGATTGAACATTTAATTCATTACATTCATCCCAGAATATTCTGTACCATGCATGTAGACCTACGTATTAACGCATTCTTTAAATGTATTAAAGAGGAATTTCTAGTCTATTCCAGAATACTGTGATTATTAAAGAACGTTGAATCTGTCTATCCTTCAAGACACTGAGTGGCGTAGCTACATGATGGGGCTTCCCAATGAAATCATCGAAAATGGAAAGAGAAATAGGAGAGGGAAGGGACGAGGGGGGGGGGGGGGGAGTGGCTTAAAAGAGCTGCTACAACCTCCTTCCATTTCCTAATCAATGACAATATTTAATCGCGTTTGATCACCCTCCAAGGAAGACCAGTACCCCCCTCCCCCCCCCCCCAATGACGCCATTACCCGTCAATGTGTCGACCCACATTACGCCCTGTCTCAACTGATCGAGACTACATAAAAACAACAACGGTATGTCTGCCTTGTAAAAATCAAAAGCACTTATACAAAATAAAGAAAATTAGAAACGCCTTTCAAATGTACGAATAAACATCCGATTAAAGCAAGCCGTCGGCTACACTCGTCACACTTTGAAGTACCTCGAGAAATCTGATCTTACATTAACAACATTTCATAACTTCTTTCAGATATCTGAGACAAAAATAAATGATAAAAGAGATAACGCTTTCGGCAGACACTCGTCAAAATTCTAAGCGACATTAAACTGTCCAACTGAAAGCGAAATGCATGTTAGATATCATTTTAATTTTCTGTTTGTATTAATTTCCATTTAAAAAGCTTGAAATAAACACAAATCTATGAAAAGCCATGACAACTTACAGCTGCTAATTCAAATGTCCTTGATATGTGGTTCCCATCTGCCCCTTCCTCTAGCTTTGTCCCCTAGCTCCATCTCTCCCACTTTGCTCACCCTTTTACATTTCCTATGTTTTTCTTTTTTCTTCTTTTTACATACATGCCACATTTTAATATTGGGCAACCTTTTTATTTTTCATCTCCTTTTTATCAAATGTTTTGATAGCTTGTGAAATGAAGTTGTTTCACAGCAAATGATTGCGCGGCTGTAAGCTGAAATTAAATCCACGTTGAAAATTCATTTCACAAATGTAATTTGAAATGCGTATCTTTATATATTTTTATTATTTATTTGTTTATAATAAATGTATTCATTTATTGATTACTGTTTATTTATTTATTGATCTATTTTGTTTTTTATTTATTAATTTATTAATCAATTATTTATTTATCTATTTAGACCTATCTATCTATCTATCTATCTATCTATCTATCTGTTTATGTACTTATAGTTTGTTTCCCTATATCGGGATGCATGGATTTAAAAAAAATACTTATTTAATAAAAATATCTTTATTTTTTTTATTAATCAAATAATTCGTACACACATCATGATAAGAATAATCACAAAATCACTGCACCATAATAACAAAAGGTAAAAACAAATGGAAAACGTCAAACAATACGGAAATAGTGGGTAACACTTTCTTGGAATGCATGGAATTAACGCACACATTTTAAGTGATTTCAAAGTTTCATTTCATAAATAATTATAGAGATTTTACCTAAGCAGTATCCTTTGACACCTTACGTCCAAATATGGGGCCGCAATTTTGTCATGAGTCATGACCACAGAAGGGTGTCGGAGGGGGAGAGATTATGACGGGCCATTATTCGTACAACTTTACAACCATACAGCCATCGAATGGGTATATAGTTTTAACCAATCAGAACGCAGGAAACGATGAAACCATACAACTATACAACTATGCAACTATACAACTATACATCCA